CGTAGCTTGCTCTTGGTACAGTCAAGGCACGTGGGAGCGGGCGAGTCAGGTGGTGGAGGAAGTGAGGCTGGCAGGCCGAGAAGAAGCTTCTTGGAGGCCATGTCAGCAAGCGTGTGGAAGTTTGGGTGCCCAAGCCGATGGTGGTGGAGGACGGTCGGGTTAGAGAAACTGCGACATGAGCATGGTGTGATAGCAGCCTGTGCTTGGGTGGTTGACACCTGTGGGATAGGTACACGCAGCGTGTAGAGGCCGCTGCTGTTGAGGGTGAAGCGAGCTAAGACCTTGTTGGTGAGTGGGTCAATGATGTCATAATAGTCCTTGTATTCCGAGATTATGGTACGGAGCCCAGCCTCCTGCAGTTCCTTTTGGGCCAATAGACGTAGTGAGGGCACGCACGTGCCAGTGACAGTGCCGGATGGGAATGCGGGGCATGGGACAGTGGACGAACCCTTGGCAAAAGTGGTGAAGCTTGAATCAGCTCCCAAGAGAGGAATGGGTGTAGAGTAGGGTCTGAAGGAGAGTGTCTCTTTGAGCACTGTGTGAGTGGCACCACTGTCGAGTGTGAATTCTATGTATTGTGGTGCTTGTGATGAGCCGATGTACTGGGAGCTTGCTTCATTAATCATGGCAGTGCCAGGGAACAGCAAGTTGATACGCACATCAGCAGGAGCACTATCACTAGCACTAGCCGAAGCGGGGTCCTGGACCTCAACTAGGTTGGCCTTACGAGGGCGCATCCAGTTCGGCGGCTTCTTGTCGACTCCGTGGATGGCATACCATTCGTCGTCTTTCTTCTTGAAGCACGTAGCGAGGGGGTGGTTGGTGCCACCACACACTTGTCCCTTGCGGTTGCCATACTTGATTACGTAGGTGCACGGAGGGAAGCGGTTGCGCTGGAAGGGTGCCGAGGCGGCACCTGCTTGAGGCACGGGAGCACGGAGGGCGTAAGCCTTGGCTTGAGCCGTGGAGTCTTTCTCGACAGAGAGGAGGGCGGAGGAGACCTTAGCAAAAGTGAGGTCTTCCGCCGAGGATGTGAGGAGCATCTTCCTCGTGACTTCGTATGCCGAGGTGAGGCCAACAAGAAGGGCGGCTGCAAGAGCTTGTTCGGGAAAGATGATTCCCAGCTCCTTGAGCTCGCCATGGATGGTTTGCACCTTGGCGATGTAGTCGGCCATACCCGGGCAATCCTCAAGGCGGACTTGAAACATACTCGGAATGAGAATAGCCACCCCGACCGCTGTCTTGTTCATGAACCTGTCTTGGAGATGCTTCCAGATGGCGTTGAAAGTGGGGTAGTTGTGGAAAGTGTTGACAAGTTCGGGAGAGGTGGAGCCGATGAAGACGCTAATGATAGCCGCATCGGCCTTCTCCCACTTGCGGTACTTGGCAACAGAATCCTCGTACTCCTGGGTAGCCACTGCATCGGAGGGATCGGACGGCTCCTTGGGGATGGGGGGCTGTTTCCCCTTGCCATGATTGAGAAGAACGTCCTTGAGGTCAAGTCCACCCACCTCGCGACCCAGGAGGTGCTTGTCAACCCCGTAGCTCCATGCCTTGAAGTTGGAGCTAGTGCCGTCGGCTTCAAGGCGGAGCGGGGTGATGGGGTTGGCGAGAGTGGCCGAGGCGAAGGCCATGACGAAGGACCCTTTAGGTCTCGCGCGAAGCGCCGCTCTTAAGTCACCGATAGGAAGGAGAATTGTAAAGTAGGGATTTTGAAGGAGAATTTTGAGGTGGGGTTTATGAAGGAGAATTGTAAGGTATGGTTTACAAAGGAGAACAGTGAAGAAAGGTTTAGTGATTTCGAAATCCGAAGGTCCCAAGAGCGAAAAACGTCAATGTCGGCCACCGATTTCAGAACTGTCGACTAGCCCTAGTCCCCCCCGGCCCTGTCCCTCTGCTTCGCGGCTTCGCTGCTACACGGCTGCTCAGCTACACCTGTTCAGCTGCGGAGAGATAGAAGTGCCGATGCGGGGGGACGGGCGACGACCCGAAGATGACGCTGCAGGGCGACGGGCGTCATCCCGACGTGAAGCTGCAGGGGGACGGGCGGCAACCCGAAGGTGACGCTGCAGGGCGACGGGCGTCAGCCCGACGTGAAGCTGCAGGGCGACGGGCGGCAGCCCGACGAGAAGTGACGGTGCAGGGCGACAGGCGGCAGCCCGAAGATTGACGAGATGAGAAGAATAGGGTTACGCCGAAGCGAGAAGAAAAGCTGGACAAAACCGCGGTGATTTGGGGTGAATGGCGAGCAAACGCTAGTGACGGTTACCTTTAGCGAAGTGCAGAAACCGATGCACCGTGATTGCGGAAAAGGTAGCACGAGAGAGAATCTGCCCACGGGACGGCGGCTTCGCCTAGGAGTGCGGGAGAGGATCCGCGGGAGAGCTCTAATACCATGTCAGAACTTGAGCTTAGAATCCATACATTAGTAATGAGCTCAAGGCTCTATAAGTACATCGGAAATGGGCAAGGTAAGGATGGGGAGAGAATCAGGGGCAATCCTAGGGGATTGGGGGTAATCCCAAGGCAATCTCCAATTGGTGGGTTGGAGATTGATTGGAGATCACATTTGGGTTTGGTTGGGATGTGGGTGTACACCCAACCAAACACAAAGTGCACACTACACTAGGATATAAAAGTGCAAGTACAAAATGTGAGATTGAGGGCTAACATCAACAGACTCACTTGGGATAAAAAAATGCATGATAATATTTATATGTGTGTTAGGCTTCTTAGGCTACAGTGAGTTGCATTGTATAAGGTGCAACACTTCCTAGGTAAGGGTAAGTTGTATGTATCACCTAGTTACCTAGATCACCACATAATATTCCTCTCGACATGTCGCAGTAGTTCCCCATCTCTTTGAGGGGTGTGCTGTGCCCTAGATTCCCACCTTCATTGCTTCTCCTGGGCTGCTGCTTCGTCGTCTGCTACTGAGAAGACTGCAAAGGTTTCTGCCACTTGTTGGCAGAAACGGGGCAAGGGAGGTAAGAAGGGGGGGAAGGGTTGTGGCGGTGGAGGTGGTGGGGGTGGTGGAGGTACTGGTGCGTCTTGAGGAGGTGGTTCGGGAGGCGAGGACGGCGCCTGGTGGTACTGAGGGTGTGACAGGGACCCAACAACAGCATTCACGGCAGCCCCAGCAGACCCATCAGTAGCTTCCATAGTCGCAGCTGTAGGTGCAGCAGCAGGGCCAGGAGCAGCAGCACACTTAGCAGTGAAGACTCCGACAGCAGTAGGGCCCACCCCAGCAGTGGGGACCTGGTGGTCCGGGGAGCGTCGGCCGCAGCTGTGCCCTTACCAACTAAGGGCCTCGTCTCGCTGGCCACGACGTTGGCCCCTACGACTACGTTGTCGAGATGGGTCCGGATAGGGACACTATCAGCGGGCGCCTTGACCACCCCACACTGTGCTGCTTCAGTCTCCTCGACCACCTCTATCGTCTGCGATATGGACCAGATGTAATTCCCCCGCGCTTGCAGGTTCCGATCACTCGTAGTTACCGTGCGTTGAGATGAACATGGATTATGCTTATACTATCATGTATGCTGTTGTTAACTATAGTGCTGACGGACCTGTATGTTCGCGTGTACCTAGACTAGGATCTTTGCCTACTGCTAGTGTAGGTGCTTGTGTGTCTACTGTAGGTGCTTGTGCAGTTTCTAGACAAGGTGTGACTACTACTGACGCATATGTCTCCTTCACGCTTGACTCCGGCGCGTCCTAGTGCATCTTCTGCGACCACACTACTATCACGCCACTTCCAGCACCAGTAGCAGCTGCTTTGGCTGATCCCACTTCTGGACCACCCGTCAAACGCAGTTCCACCACTCTCCCATGTTCTGCTGTCCCCTTTGGTTCTCTCACAGGCTCCACATCCCTTCGCTCTCCAGGAACTTGGTGGGTGTTGGACACCTTCATGACCGTGGGGTCACGGTCACTTTTCCGGCACACGAGAGGTTTGCGACCAGTACAGACGTTCCACAGGGGCACGTCTTGCGACTTTCTCCCTGTTGAAGTGAAAGGCCCCGCCCTCGCTTAGGCGCAGGTGTCCTCGGCACCGCCATGGTGAATTTGAGGAAGTGGTCGTCGTATGGGCCTTCGCTGTTAGATGACAGTGGTCGTCGAAAAAGCCCTGCCTTGTTCAACGAGATGTCGTAGTCGACGACAGAAGTAGTGATGGATCGATGGTGAGTTTATGAAGTCCTCGTCATGCGGGGGGGATTCCAGGAGTGGCACTGGCAGGTTCCAGTCTTGTTCGTCTAGGTCTGAAACGAATTCTCTGTCTAGCGTGAACGGATTGTTGAGGCCTGAGTGATCGACTTGAGGGCCTGGTGCAGGTGGTGAGACTGGTCGGAGGTGTCGTTGGATTTTCCGCCTTATTCGGCGGTAGGCGCGCATCGCCATATTTTCGATGACGTGGTGTACATTTTCGTTGTATGCCGGCCTTAATTGATCAGGTTCCGACGATGATGATGGGCGCGGGCATGAGCAATTTTCCGAACATCAAATACGTTCGGGTCGAACATGTTCGATGAGCATTTTTTATTTTATAAGGTTCGCCCGAACATGTTCGAGGTTCGACTCGAACATGTTCGGTGTTCGAAAGAGATTATGGGGAAATTCCCGAACACCAAACATGTTCGGGAAGTTTCCCCGCTTTTCCGAACATTAGAGGTTTGGAAAAAACCAGCGCGACATTTGTCGCGCTGGTTGGATGTATTTCCTACGGAAAGCATAGATCGAGGTCATTTCGACCTCGATCTACCTTTTTAGGTTAAGTACAGAGCAGTAAGGAGTAGTAGGCTCCTTTCCAGCCCAAATCCACCCAACTTACCAGTTCCTTATGGGAACTTAGGTTAATTAGACGTTAGTTAGTCATTCTTTTAAGTAACTTAGGGTTTAAAAGCATGATCTGTAAACGACTCCAGTCCTAAAAAAGCAGAAGCCTTTGGGTATTTAAGGGCTACACTATCGTTCGTAGAAGTGCGATTTTAAGCTTCATGGCGAAGGATCGGGTGGGAGGTGCAAGGGCGGATGGGGGACGCGATGAGGATGGAGCTGGCCCCTCGGGTTTGGGCGCAACTGCGGCCAGCCCTCTCGTGGTTGAAGGTCACGGAGTTGCATTCCGCGACTCAGCCACATCGGCACACACGTTCCGCAACGGCCTTTTGGGTGTGGTGGTGGCGGAGGAGGATGAGGCGGAAGAGGAGGAGGAGGATGTGGAGGCGGAGGAGGAGGAGGAGGAGGAGGAGGAGGAGGAGGAGGAGGAGGAGGAGGAGGAGGAGGAGGAGGAGGAGGGTGGAGGGGAGGACGAGGGGGACGAGCGTGTTAAGGATGCAGAAGTCGAGGCTGCAGGGGGGGGAAGGGGGAACGCGGGTAGGCTGGGTTCAATGTGGGTACGGTAAAAAAAGCAAGCCCCACTCTCTCCGGGAAGTGGTTCAGAGAGTGGATCACAATACTCACCCGGTAAAGAGGGTGAGGGGGGCGAGGAGGTGGACGAGGAGGGCTCGAAGGGAGTGGTGGGGAGGCATAGGGGGGAGGCAAAGGTCGTGGCTGCCCCTAAGGCTCCTAAACCTAAGCCTGGCCGTGTTCAGAAGGGGAAAGGAAGGGGAAGAGGAAAGGGCGGGAGGGGGAAGGGAAAGAGGGGGGGTGCTCAAGTAAGGGGGGATGAGGGTTTGGCTGAGTCGGCGCCACCACCCAAGAAGCGGAAGACAAAGAAGGCGCCAGGGTGGGCGGTCTAGATGTTTGGGCCTCTCATCCAAGAGGTCCTCCCGGATGAAAGGCGGATGTGCAAGATGTGTGACACGGATGTTTCCTGGTAGGATGGCACAACCACCTCTGGAATTCGCCACTACGAGTCGCAGCACACAGCGCACCTCCGCATCTGGGAGTATCGCGCACGCTACAACCCCCACCTGCTACAGCCTGGCGAGACGTTTCCCAAGGGGGGCTACGACGATGTCCCAAACGGGGAAGTTCATGACTATCCCGGCATCACCACTTGGCCTATCCTACCGGCAGGGACCCGGAAGAGGAGGGTGGCGGTAGGCGGACAGGTGGGGGGCATTGAGCTCTTCATGTCGGAGCGTCTCAGCAAGTCGAAGTTGCGCCAGTTGATCACCAAGATGGTGGTCTCGTGCGACTTGCCATTTCGCCTCGTCGACCAGCACTCGGTGAGAACACTCCTGGCGATGCACGCTCCTACTCTTGATATGCACGCTCCAACCCTTGTTGTGATGCTCGCTATAACCCTTGTGATGACCGTCCTCATCATGCACTCCTTCCCCCCACCACGCGTCGATGTGTACGTGGCAGTTCAAAGAGCTGCTCACGTACCTCAACAGCCAGTGCGGCGAGAAGGGCACGCTGCCCACCCGCTGGACTGTTGCTCGTGACAATGTGGTCTTCGCAGAAAAGGCGCTCCAAGCTGCCATCGCCGAGCTGGCGAAGACCAAAGGCTTGGTGTCCTACACCACCGACATATGGACAGGCCCGAATGGGAAGTGCTACATGGTGGTGACTGGCCACTATGTATCCGACAGCTGGGAGCTTCGACAGGTAGTGCTCGCGTTTCGTGAGATGCCTGGAGGGCACATCGCCGAGGCGATTGCGACGGTGGTGGAGGAGGTGGTGGAGGAGTGGCAGCTGCAGGATCGTTGCCTCGGTATGACGACCGACAACGCCTCCACCAACGTTCTAGCCCTCAGACTCCTTTCGGAGGAGGGGGCTAGGAAGCGTTACTTCCGCGAGGGCGCCCACTTCCGGTGCAACACATTCTTGGCATACCAACCACACCACTCTACTTCCATCCCCTCTCCCTTCCTTGCAGTGTCCCCTCTCCCTTCCCATCATTGCCGTCCGTTCTCACCTCTCCCTGATATGCGGCAACCCTTCTCCATTCCCATCACTGCGCTATCTTCTCCCCCCTCCCTTCCGTGCCCACCCTTCCATCCATCCTCAAACCATATCCTCTAACGTACCAGCTGCCTCGCTCACATCGTCAACTTGGCGGTGCAGTCGGCGCTCGGTGTTGTGTTGCTGCAACTCCTGCTGAAGAAGTTGCGCGACCTTGCATCAGCGGTGGGCATGTCGACTAAGTGCTCGGCTGCGTGGATGGGGTTTCAGGTGGCGAACCCACCGGTGCCGGACGGGCCTCACAAGCTCGTCCAGGACAGTCCTTTGCGCTGGGGATCGACACACACGATAGTGGCGCGCTTCCTGCTCGTGAATCCCCTTCTCACCATGTTCCTGATGGGTGACCAGGTACATAATTCCCTCTGCGAACTCGCACGTCACTGTTCCAATATTCATGCAGTGTTGCGCTAGCGTATCCAGTTCACTGCCATTGAACTAACCCTCTGTCCACTCACCCACCCACATTCCACAACAAGGGACCACAAAAGCTGAGAGGAAGAGGTTTAGGGCGCTGCGCATTACAGACGAGGAGTGGGAAGCCTTGGCGGCGCTGGAGGGGTTCCTGCGTCCCTTTGCCCGAGTCTCCAAGGCCGCTGAGGGGTCAGCTTACCCCACAGTGTCGATGGTGCTGCCGTACTTCTACGGCCTCATCGACAGCCTAGAGAAGCAGCTCTATGTGGGATCGCCTGTGTTTGTGCGCCCACTCGTGGAGGCAGCGCTGGGGCATTTGAAGAGGTACGAGTTTGCCTTCGGGGACGAGTACTGGATCGCCACCTTCCTAGACCCGTCCCTGAAGGCACAGCGGTTTGACATGGACCACTGGGAGAAGCAGCACCCAGAGCTGGTGGCGGCGGGTGGGGGGAGGGTGCGGCCGCGCATAAGCGCCGAGCGGGTCATTAAACTGGTGAAGAGGCGGGTGGCATAGTATCGGGCAGAGGCAGCCCTACGGGCGCCGCCACCGGTGCCTGCCCCCGCTCCCGCTGCGCCAGTCGCTGCACAGGACGACGACGACGAGTTCCTCCCTAGCAGGGCGCGACTGCAGGCGCGGGTGGCTGGGGGGGGGGGCTTGCCACAGATGGACGAGGTGGAGCGGTACGTGGCAGAGGATCCGGTGTTCACCACGACGGCACTGCAGTACTGGCAGCAGGCACAGAACATGAACACACTGCAGTAGATGGCGCGGAACTATCTGGCGATCCCTGCCACCTCTGCTGCCAGTGAGCGGGCGTTCTCGATGGGGAGGAACCTGATCTCATGGAAGAGGCTGCGCCTCAATACCGAGCGAGTGACTGCGTGCATGATTCTGAAGCCATTCTACAGCACTCACCCGGGAGAGCGGATTGGCGAGGGGAAGAGGGTAGAGGGAGCCTACCCCATAGTGATGGGGCTTGCATTGGAGGGGGAGGGAATGGAGGAAGGAGAGGAGGAGGAGGCAGAGGAGCTGGCGGATGAGGCAGTGCGACTGGCTCAGGGTGGGGCTGGTGGGGATGATGGCACAGGCGAGGGAGGGGGTATGGCCGGCCAGGTGCTGACCCAGGCCTAGAGCGCGTGTTCTTTGCGGAGATTACTGCAGCAACGGGAGCTAGACTACGGGCTAGGCACGGATGCTCGTGTGATCTCTGCGTTCGTTCGTTCCTTAGTCGTTTCCTTGTGCACACACTGCTTGCTAGTTCACGGGGCAAATTGGCAAGAGTTTCACTAGGAAAAGTTCAGAACAATTGGTTACAACAACATTGGCAACACAGACTACATCAGAGCTAGCTAGGCTGCTGGTCGACCTCCAGCGCAGCACGGTCGACCGCGCTCCAGCGCAGCAGCGCTCGCACCGCTCCAGCGTTGCAAGTCCATGGCATGCCAACGCTGCAGCAAGTCGGCTGCCCAGCGTTGCACCCGCAGGACAACGGTGCACCTGCTTCGCAGGTGCGCGCAGCTGGTTGGTGCACTCGTCCTTGTCACATGCACAGCGCAGACGCCTGGCAGAATCCACGCCAGCAACTGCGCCCACCAGCCACGTCGACCTCGGGATACCACCCCCGAGGTCGGCCTCGCAGACTCCACCCCGGCGACACTCGCGCACGTCGCCCGGGTATCCCGGTCGACCGGGCAACCGTGCCTGGTCGACCAGCTCAGTCCGTAGCCGGCCACACACATGCCCGGCGTCCCCAGTCCGGCGTCCAGACGCCCAGGACGCCGTCCGGACTCCCAGGTCGGCGTCCAGACGCCCAGGACGCCGTGCAGACGTCCAGGGCGGCGTCCAGCCTCCCAAGACGCCAACCAGGCGTCCAGGTCGGCGTCCGGGCCCTCAGGACGCCATGCAGACGCCTAGGTCGGCGTCCAACTTCCTGGGACGCCGTGCAGACGCCTAGGTCAGCGTCCAGCCTCCCTGGACGCCGTCTAGGCGCCCAGGACGGCGTCCTCCTGCTCGGCGCCCTCCAGCCAGGCGCCCTCCAGCTCGGCGCCCTTGCAGTGGCCCCCGTGCCCACTGCTGTTGGTCGGCTGCATCCCCCGCACGCTCGACCACAAGGTCGGCTCCGCCCAAGCGAGGACGGGGCCACACAACACACCCGTTGACATTCCTTGCTCGCATGGAGGGGGAGGGATTGGAGGAGGGGGAGGAGGGGCACAATGGGGCTGGTGGGGATGGTGGTGATGGTGGGGCTGATGGGGATGGTGGGGCACAATGGGGCTGGTGGGGATGGTGGGGCTGATGGGGCTGGTGGTGATGGTGGGGCTGGTGGGGATGGTGGGGCACAATAGGGCTGGTGGGGATGGTGGGGCTGATGGGGCTGGTGGTGATGGTGGGGCTGGTGGGGATGCAGGGGCACAATGGGGCTGGTGGTGATGGTGGGGATGGTGGGGTTGGTGGTGCAGGCGGGGGAGGAGGGGGTATGGTAGGCAAGGCTCTGACCCAGGCCTATCGCCTGTTCCATGCCCATTGGGATGCCTATCTATATACAATTACTTTGCCCCTGATTTAGACTACATTAGTGTTTGAAATCCAGGCCTGTAGTTGCTAGCATGCTTAACATGCTCGACAATATTTCAGTATCCTGGAATTCTTAAAATGTTGCTTTGTTGTGGGTTTCACACTCCCCCGTCCCTGTTCCCCCGTGTTTCCCACCCCTTTGACAAACATTTGTGATAGAAATCCAGGTCTGTAATTGCTGGCATGCTTAACATGCTTGACAATATTTCAGTTTCCTGGAATTCTATAACTGTTGACTTGTTGTGAGTTTCCCACTCGCTCTGCCATCTTCCCCCGTGTTCCGCACCCCCTAAACATATATGGGCAGGTGTTGTTGTACTTGATTGCATGGAAACAGGGGTGGTGAAATCTGTTAAGTCACAGAAACGGTGGTGAAATCTGTTTAGTCACAGAATCTGCCAAGTCCTTATTTTCGAACACCAAACATGTTCGGAATTGGCCGAACATGTAGATGTTCGGCGAACCTAAAGATGTTTGCCCACACTAACCAAACACCAAACATCGAAAATGTGAAAATAATGTTCGGCCGAACCGTAATGTTCGGGGGCGTTCGGGCGAACACGTTTGGTGTTCGCCCGTTGCTCATGCGATGGTCCTGAGACGGTCGGCTAGTCTGGCGCGAAGAGGCGAAACCGTCTGTTGGGGGGTTTCGAGGTGTTGTGTTGTTTCGCGGCCCGGAGCGGCATCACTCGATTGAATGGCCGAAAAGTCTACAGTTTTTGCAATTATACTGACGGGGACGGGGATCGCGCGATCGTCGTTGGTCTCGGTTTGAGTAGGTGGTGATTCGTTTGCGATGTGCCCCTTTTTCCTGATTAAAGTCCATGTCCTGTTGCTCTTGCGAGAGCGCGGCACACAGGGTGGCTTCTGTTGTGGTGCCTTGCTGACGGAGCAGGGCTTTGCAGGGTTTCAAGTCGGGTCCTAGTCCCACAAGAACTATCGTGACGAACATGTCTTTGGCGATCAAATTTCCTAGTTTTATGAGTTGATCGCGAATGTTGTGGCAGCAATTGATGTAGGAGTTCGTCTTCACGCTAGTGGTCATTCTGACCTCCATGAGTTGCTGTAGCAGATGGCTCGAGGAAACGAAATCCTTAGGCTGATACAGCTTAGTGAGGAAATTCCAAGCTTTCATGGCATGAGCAGGGTCGGTTTTGAACGATCGTATGCTGAGTTGTTCGGTCGGCGGCATATGGCATAAGAGTATGCCGTACGCCATGAGTGATTCATTGTAGTAACATGCCTTGGCTTCGTCGGTGTCGCTAGTGGGCTCGGCGTAGCTTCCGTCGAAGAAGCAGAAGATTTGAGCGCTTTGGAGAAGCAGTTCTAGCTCGAAACTCCGTGTGTAAAAATTCTGTCCGTTGAAGACGGTACTCGTGCGAATCTTTTAAATGTGTTATGGGCAGTGAGAATTGCTTCGTCACTTGGGCGTGATGAAGTTGGAGCAGGAGATTTCGACCCGGTTGAGCGGGCTGCTAGGAGGTACCCGGGTTGCCATTCTTCGGTTGTTGGAATCCTGACTCCAAAGTTTGCATGCGCTGGATGTGTTGTTCCAGAAGTGCATTACTGACGGTCATAGTTGCCGCCGAGTTCGCAGTTGGGTTGGCAGGAGCTTCGGCAGTGGGAGCCGCTTGCCGTACCAGACGCCACCTTGGATTCAAATTCGAATGAGAGGTGGTGGTGCGAAGAATCATGAGTGGCTCTCAGGGCGTGTTCTTACAACCTCTTGTCCAGGGCTAACACTATCAGACTAAATAGTCTGATTAGTCTGACGAATCAGACCTATGATCCACTGGACATTGAATTTTCAGATTAAGTTATTTTTGAACCTTGATTGATTCAGGGTAATAGTTTTTTTCATCCCTGTTTTTTGTGTAAAGTGTTTCAGACTGATCTGTTAGCGAGCCCTGACTTAAGAGAGTATCGATTCTGTAGGCCATGAATGCAAGTTTATCGGGTCGAAGGTTCCAAGAAATTTCCTTCCGATATACTAACCTCCGAGGTGGCAGCGAGTGCCACCACCTGAGCGAAGCACAGTGGACAAGCTGGGCCACCTTAGTACACTCAGTTTGCGCCTACATCACAAAGAGTAAATAGTTATACGCTTTGGGCAACCGTTGAGTCGTGAAATTGAAAGGAGCCGAAGAAACGAAATCTAGCGTTATTCTAAACCAATCAGTGAACTGCACTGCGAATCGTTGGAGAGGATATCTCGCCACATGTAACATATTGTGCTTCTTGGTGCTGAGATCGAGTTTTTCTCCGCGCCAACAGTGTGAAAACGAGTTGTTACTGGTTCGTTGGTTGAAACTCTTCTATCGAACTAATTACTGTACGTGATGCAACCACCTTCTCGCGCGCCAAGTGACAGTTGTGTGGCAGGTCGCGCCAGGTCAAGCCATGCGCCTCTTGAAACATTCCTTCTTCGCCAACAAACCAGAAGAAGAAGAAGAAGAAGAAGAAGAAGAAAAGGAAGAAGAAGAAGAAGAAGAAGAAGAAGAAAAAGAAGAAGAAGAAGAAGAAGAAGAAGAAGAAGAAGAAGAAGAAGAAGAAGAAGAAGAAGAAGAAGAAGAAGAAGAAGAAGAAGAAGAAGAAGAAGAAGAAGAAGAAGAAGAAGAAGAAGAAGAAGAAGAAGAAGAAGAAGAAGAAGAAGGAGAAGAAGAAGAAGAAGAAGAAGAAGAAGAAGAAGAAGAAGAAGAACCGCGACTCTGACTTCATTTCCCCAAAACTGAAAGCCCATAGTGGCGTTTTGTTTTACACTGATTTCTTTCAACAGGCTCAGACTAGCCATTTCGCGGCCGAAGTGCCGTCAGGCTTAAAAAAAAAATGCTGGTCAAAATCATGGGGGCGTTTTTTGAAACGTCAGTCCTGCTCTTGTCAAGCAACCTCGTATCAGATTCGCGTCGAACCGCACTGAAACGCATCCAACCGCAGTCGAACACACTGAAACGCATTTTACCACGCGAAGCTGATACGAGGTGTGTCGGACACGAGGTGTAGGAACACTCTCTCATACCATGTTACAATTTGATTGAACAGATTTACAGTAGGATCGACTCAGGTTAATCACAGAGAGTGTAGCAGCGGAAGTTTGCTAGTGGTTGGGTACGGACTCTGTCAGTAGAGGGAGATTTGGATCTCGACAAAAGTGATTATAACAGTGCGATACAAGGGTTTATTTTAGGAATATGGGGGAATAGGAAGGGTCCTAGCTGTTAGAAACCTAGGAGAAAAGGTGCATTAGGTCAAGGGAAGGGGAGTACAAGAAAGGTGTCGAGAAACTTGTTGTACCCCCTAAAGCATAACCCCACTACAGCCTAAATACAGATAAATAATTATGTTTGACACACCCCCATTGGCGAAGTGGGGGATATCCAGAGCAAGCAATGGTCACAAGACCAGTCAAGAGAAACAACAAAACAATGCCCAGGGTGGATCTCAAGATCACCACACAGTCCGAGCACAAGCAAGTGGCCACAAAGCCGGTTCACATGCAGAGTTATATAAAGCACATGCAGTACAGTGATCACAACCTAACCAGGGTAAGCATGCAGGCAGAGTACGCACAAGACCCAGAGCAGTGCAGAAACGCTGATGATCACCAGACCATAGGGCCTTGGTGAAGATATTAGCAGTGTTGGCCTGTGAGGCCACGTAAGCAAGGCGCAGCTGACCACGCTGCTGCAGCTCTCGAGCTAGGAAGTAACGCAGAGCGATGTGCTTTGTTCTGTGCTCTAGTCTATGCTCCCGACACAAGGCAATCATGGCCTTGTTGTCGACGTACAGGACTGGAGGAGAACGAGGCCGCTCACCCAAGTCGGTCAACAGGTAGGTCAGCCAGTGTAGCTCCTGAGCAGCCATGGCCCCCGCGTAGATCTCAGCCTCACAACTGGAACTGAGAACAGAAGACGAGCGGGTGGACCTCCAGGAGACAAAACCAGAGCCAAGACTGAAAGTGTAACCCTGTGACGACCGCTGAGTCTCCTGGTCGTCTGCCCAGGAAGCGTCTGAGTGCCCGGTGAGCACAACTGCACCCCGTCCTCCAAGCACAAGCCCCATGCCTGATGTACTGCGCAAGTAACGCAGTACCCTCTGCGCAGCTGTCCAATGCTCCTTCCTGTGTCTCCCGGGTGCAACCAAGCGAGCAAGGATGCTGAGAGGGTACGCGAGGTCAGGTCGTGTGCACGTCATCAGGAACACGGGGCAGCCGACAAGCTCTGGATACGGACCACTCGGCTCTACGGACTCGTCCGAAGGTGGAGCTGAGAGCGAGTGGCTTGTAGGAAGAGGAGTGGGCTGTGGCAAGGAGAACCGAAAGCCGAAGCGCTGAAAGACCTGCTGCACCATGTGTGACTGAGTCAGTGTGATGGTGCGCCTTTCTCTGTCCCGGGCGATCTGCAAGCCAAGATAGCTGCGCAGCTCACCCAAGTTAGTACAAGTGTGTCTCTTCTGCAGCTCCGCCTTCACAAGGGCCAGTGCCTCAATGTCAGCAGTAGCAAAGACCAAGTCGTCGACGTACATGAGGATGTAGAACGGCGGCAGAGAAGTGTCAGTGCGCAGAAACAGCGACGGGTCAGCAGTCGAAGGAGCAAACCCAAGAGCCGCAAGTGTCGTCCTCAGTGTGTCGTGCCACTCGCGAGGCACCTGGCGGAGACCGTAGACTGGCCGCCGGAGGCTCCACTGGGTACCACTCAGGAAACGACCCAGTGAAACCAGGTGGGCGGCGCAGCCAGATCTCCTCGTGAAGGCTGCCCTGCAGGAAGGCTGTGAAGAAGTCAAGCGAGTGGAGCTCGTAGCCATGCTGTGCAGCAACGTATAGTAACACTCGAAGAGTGGTCAACTTTGGGGTGGGGGTGAAGGTCTGGAAGAAGTTGACCCCCTGTCGCTGATTGAAGCCTCGTGCAACGTAATGCGCCTTGAAGACAGGCGGAGAACCCAGCGGCCGCTTCACCCTGAAAATCCACATGCCATCGACTATGTTCGCCCAAGGAGGGGGAACTGCGTCGACGTAGGTGCCTGTGGACTTCCAGGATGCCATCTCTGCGTCCATGGCTGTCTGCCATTGAGAGGAGTGCTGACCCATGATCGCCTCTGCGTAAGAGCGCGGGGTCAGGATGTCTAGTGCATCCCGGTCTCCCTTAGTGGCAAGCAGCATGGCAGCGAAATGAGGTACAGCAGCCGCAAGACACTT